CCCAAATCCTCCTTGACCAAGCTTCTTGGTGAAGTTCTCCGTTGCAGCCTTTAGATCATCGTAAGAAAATCTAGTCGGCATTCCTGGTACGTGATCTAGATAATCCTCCTCATCTTCATTAGCCTTTCTCTTCTTCCAGAATATGAAAACTGCAACTCCAATTATGATCCCTAAAATGGAAACTCCTATGACAGATCCCAGTATAGCACCATTAACACGCTTTTTCTCTTCAGCAGCAGCTACTTCAGGTTCAACCTGTACTTTTATAAATGCATGGGAATCATACCTTGTCTTGTCCTTCTCATTATTCGCTAGTGAAAAGATCTGGGATGGTAAGTAGCAGTCCCCCGTGGATGAGTTTAAACCACTGCGAAACAAAGCAGCTTTACAGGAACAGTTCCTCAAACATGCATCTTTACAGGTATTCATACTAGTGTTTCTGATATCTGTCGTAAATGTGAAATAGTCCACATCTTGAAGATCCAAAAATCTGTGGTTACTTAAAGCATTACATGTAAGTCTTGTGACCTCAGAGCAACCCAGATTACCCTGTCTATCATCTATCTGTCTGAAATAGGTCGTTGAATTAGAGCTCGATTTGGGACAACTACACTGCCCCCCTGAGCAAATGCCATATCTCCCACATGCCATGGGATAATAACACTCTCCGTAAAAACCTGTGAGGAGATCATCCACCTCAGTCCACCCATTTTGCCACTCATACACTTTCAAGTGTCCATCAGACTCCAGTCTCATATATTGAGCTGACGTCGCTACACTAAATGAAACCAGTTTCTCTGAATCGCTGGAATTACTAGAGTTCGAGAGTAAAGCTAAGCTACCATTCAAATACACTACATAATTTGAGCCTCTACTTGCATTCAATCCAACAATAGTCGCGTCAAAGTATGTTTGGGGAGGATTTGACTCTATGAAAGCAACCAAACCATTATCAATAGCAGAGAGGGAAAACAAACCTCTCTCTGTCCAATTCGTCGTTGAAACACTTGCTGTCAGTTTCATCCCGGATACTAACCTCTGCCCTGGAACTAAAGCATCAGTCGGGTGATCAAACGATTGCCAAACAGTTGCATTCTTCGAATCAAACAGAACAAGATTCCCCTCATCTGTCAAGTTTAAGCCAGCAATAGACTTGCCAGTAGTGTTAGTTGACCAAGCCAAAGTACCATCAGCATCTCTAAGCACCAAATCTCCTTGTGCTGTAAGTTCCAAAGTAGAATTGATCCTTACAGTTTTATTCCTGTTTGCAGACCAAACGACCTGTGGGAATCCAATCGATGGAGAAGTAATTCGGGACACGCTGTTAGTTTGCACGATGAAAATGGCAAAGAGGTAAGTATCACAATTGCCATTACAGTAGAAACCACAAGCATATTTTGGACCAAAAGTTCCTTTGAGTAGTATGGCTCTTACTGTTGAGCCATCACTGAAATCCACTGAATGGTCTGCAGAAATGCTGTTAACCCAAGTTGTAGAAAGATTTGCAGATGGATAATCATAAGGTTGGCTACTTATCAAATGAAAAGAACAACAAAGAATTAAAAAGAAAAAAGGTAAAAACTGGCATAAAGCCATAAAGACCATCCAAACAAGGCAAAGGGCCTTTAATTCATCATTGAGATGAACTTAAATTTAAGATGTTGGGTTGTTTGAAAGTTTCTTAGATCTTAATTTGCTTGTTATAGACCCATTAATACAATTTTTTAATCCTTAATGCAAAATATAATTATGGTCAAGAAAGCACCAACCAACCTACTTCCTACAACTTGGAGAAATGGTGGACTAAAGGAACGCGTTGACCTTACCAAGTCTTCCAGCCACGTGTACTCCTTTCGTTGAAATATTATACTATATAAATACGGTGAAATAATTAATTCTCGTACATGTAATATTTAAATATTGAATCGCCTTGGCATAATTTTTTTCTTTTTTTTTAATTTTTAGTCCGTTTATGTTTGACTTGACATGCCTTACAAGAAATATATATTTTATTAAATTAATCTAAATGTTGGAAAACGAACGGGGAAATAGAGAATAAGGACGAAGAAAAAAGGTATAAAATGATAAATTTATTTCTTAATTTTTGAAATTTTACAATTAAAAATAGACTAAATGAGTACGTAAAGTTCCTTTTTCGTTCCCCTCTTTTTGACTAAAAGCTTTGTTGGAAGAAATTACAGAATGTGAAACCAATTTTCAAGTGTGAGAGAAAGAAAATGAAATAATCTTTTGATCATAAACAAGTCTAATTTTTTTAATTATAATTTTATTTTTGTTCTTTTTTTTTATTATATCTTAAGATTTTTCCTCTTTTTTGCTTTATTGATGATTTGAAGTCACATTTCTAAAGTCAGAGATAGATTTGCTTACTATCCGAGCAATCCTATTATCCGAGTCTATTTCATTTTAGGTGTAGTTTAATGAATCAAACTCAAAGAATGACATATTTGTCCCTACTGTACATAGTTAAAAGCATATTACCCATGAAAGGGAAAAGAAAAAGCAGTTTATTTTTAATTTATTTTTACTTTTACATATACTAGTTCTGAAAACGTGTCTTGCATGTTTGATTTCTATTGCTGTTATAATTTATATAGGCCTAACTTAAAATTGTTCAACATTGTCTGAAGTACTCCTATCTGTGTTTTTATGCATATAAAATAAACTCTTTTTAGTGCTAACTTTCTGCCCTAAAACTTAAATATCAATTAAAAAAAAATTGTGGGGAAGGAAAATGAGCAACTTATAAGGCTAGAACAATATTTTTACTAATTAGAATTAACACTCAAAAATTTTAACCCCGAAGGCTGATGTTTCTTTGGACTAGGGCTGGCAAGGGGAAGGTGACTGGGGGATGGGACGAAGGGGGACGGGACGGGACGGGACGGGGGACGGGGAGGGGGGATTTCATCCGGGACCGGGATTGGAGGGACCGGGATTGGGGGGACGAAAATAGGTCCCATCCCGTCCCACTATATATATGGGGGGATGGGATTTGGGGGGACGGGACGTGACGGGACGGGACGGGATGGCATGGGCCGGGGGATTCTTTTTTTTTAATATTTATATATTTTTATTGAAATGGTACGTCTTTAGCTAATAAATTTTAAATTTAATTTTTGATTTTCAAATATCAAAATAAATTTTCTAATTTAAAGTTTTAATTTTCAAATTTTAAGATTCATTTTTCAAATTTCAAGTTTCAACTTTAAAGTTTTAAATTTCAAATTTGAGAAGTTTAAATTTGTAATTTAAATGTTTTAAAGTAATGTAAATTGTAAACTTTAAATTAAGTATTTTAAAATTAGTTTAGTACTTTAGTATATATATTTAATTGTATATATTAAAATTAAAATTCAAAACAATAATTGTATAAAAAAATTTATTCAATAGAACTTATAAGTTACAACTTACAATTAACAAATATTAGTGGAGTAACTAATCTACGCAGCCACCTTCTAGGAAGGGTTCTGTTTCAATAAGTTCTCATACGTAAAACTAATATTTGTTACAGATATTAGATAAGTAACTAATTTACGCAGCCACCTTCTAGGAAGGGTTCTGTTTCAATTAGTTATCGAATGTAATCTAATAATATCTGTTTTCTCCTTTAAAATTTAATTCTAATTGTCGCATCATATCGATGGTGATATCCTCCGGTGTTGGCAAACTTGTTAGAAATTCTTGTGCGTCTAATTCATCATCACTGCATTCAATACAAGTTTTGATCCAAGTTGCTTGTTTTTTACTTAACTTTGGCAAATTGTTATTCCTCCTTTCGGCATTGCACCAGTCTCTAAATAAAACTGTTGTTTCCAAACTGTCTTCCGCCAATGAATGTCTATGATCACCGATTTGAAACCTTGCCGCACTGAAAGCAGCCTCCGATGCAACTGATGAAGCTTGAATAGCTAGAATATCACGAACCATTTTGCTCAAAGTTGGAAATGCATCGCTTCGTCTACTCCACCATCCTAATAAATCTTCATTGCCATCTTTGATTTCCAAGTTTTCTAAAGATTGATTAAGATATTCTTCAAAATCATCACGGTTAGTAGAATTAAAGATTGATTAAGATATTCTTCAAAATCTTCATTGCCATCTTTGATAGTAACGGCTACATTTTTAAATTTAAAAAAAATAAATTGGGGGGATCCCGCGAACCGGCCGGTTCAACCGGGCCGGGTCGACCGGGACGCAGGGGTGAACCGGCCCCTGACCGGTCCCCTCATCCCCCATCCCGTAATCCCCTTAAACCCTGGGGGATGGACCGGACGCGGGACGGGTCGTGACGGGACGTGGGCCGGGGCGGGATGACCCGGTCCCCCTGCCAGCCTTACTTTGAACATAAATACTCCAAGAATCATTAAAATAAAAAAAAAATGAACGAATGGCACAAACCAATAAATATTACATGAGAACTATTAGATGATGTGTTCCTCCATCATTAAAATAAAAAATGAACGAATGCACAAATTAATAAGAAAAATAGTTATCAATAAAAAAATATTACATAAGAAATGAAACACAAAGTGTAGTGGATTAATATTTTTTATTCAATTTATAAAGGGAGAAATTAAGTACATGGAATGTTGTGAATGAATGTATTTGATGGTATAAGCTAAAAGGTTTAATAATCAAATTCATTAAGAAATGAAAAATAATAAGTTGTAATATCTAATCATGTATTTAGTCTAGTTTAATTGTCATTATTGATTTAATTTTAAAAATTAATAAAAGATCTTTTAATTTAAAAAAATTGATGAAAGACATTTTTGTAATCTAACTTTAGACTTAAAATCTTCCCACTTATAATAATACTAGTTTTAGGGACGTTTGTCCCTTATTGTTAAATTTTTATATTCTAAAAAATTGAGTTATAAAATAGAAAATTATGAAATTAGCAATAGTAGTTTTACCATTTATATTTTGTTCACTAAATAATAAAAAAAATATATTATGAATACTTGAGCATTTTTTGTTATCCTTCATTAGCCGCAGGTGGGAGCGAGCCGAGCGAGACCAAAGCAAGTTTCTCATTCTCTTTTCTTCTCATGTTGAATTATGCACATAACATAAATCTTTGTAAATTGATTCATAAAGCATATTGAAATTTGGGAAAAAGGTCTAATATACCCCTCAACTTTGTCATTTGAAGTTGATATATTCCTCCTTATAAAAGTGGCTCATATATGTCCTTACCGTTATACAAACGGCTCACATATACCCCTACCGTTACAAAATGGCTCACATATGCCCTTTATTTAACGGAAGTTAAGAAATTAGTTTTAAATTTATATTTGTTACTTCTAATTTTTAAAAAAAAATTATTTAGGCGTATATATGATTCTTCTATCAAAGTTCAAGGTATATTTTAATTTTTTTCTGACATAAATTATTTTTTGACTTCTTTTATTATAATTATTTGAGTTTCTTATTCTTATTTTGTTTTTTTCTTTCATTCCTTAGTTTAAAGAAAAAAAAATTAAACTATTTTTTTCTGTGTATTGTAATTTAATTTCGTATTCGAAGAAAAAATTTGGTCATCTACAATAAGTTTTACAAGAATATTAGTGAAACATAAATAAATTTGATTATCATAATAATTATAAATTGAAATAAAAAAAAGTCAAAAGAATATGTTTGACGAGGATTAAATTTACTCATATGTGATTATATTTTTTAGAAAAAAATAGTAATAATTTAGATTAAACTTATTTTTTTTTCATTTTCGTTAGAGGAAAAGGGTATATGTGAGCCACTTTGTCTACAAGTAGGGGTATATATGAGCCACTTTTATAACGAGGGGTATATCAGACTATTTTCCCTTGAAATTTAATTCCGAAAGTGTTCTTACAGAATAGTGGAGAGAATCTTCATATTCAACTTTCAATTTTAAAAAATTATGGATATGAGTAATAATTAACATTTAATAATCACGCTGAATAAAAACACATTCTCTTAAATAAAATAAAATATCTAAGGCATAAGTAGACATTCTAATTTGGACAATTACTACTTAACTATTTATGGGTCCAGCCAATAATCTAGAAATCGAAGTTAACAATTTTTTAGCCATAATTAAAATTTTACATTAATAATAAATAGCTTCTCATCACAGTAAATAGAAGTTTGATGCATACTATATAAGTTCTAAAAGATGATCATCAATTTGGTACATATGCAAATGATACAAACACTAATTGATATATTACGAAAAACAGCCGCAGTCATCATAATAATTATTATGTTAATTATTTTTATTATTCTATCACATATGCATCTTCTTTTTAACCTTAGAGAAATATTGTACATATGATTTATGAAGAGAAAAGAATAATACTCTTTTTCTCATAAAATTTCTCTTTGAATAATTAATATAAATGGAGCAACACAAACTTTTTAAAATAACTTATTTACAGATATATGATCAATTTGAAAAATGAATATTTTCACAAATAAATAATAAGCTAATAAGATCAATAGATTATACAATATAAACAAAAAGTCAAATAAAAATACATTTTAAAAAATCATATGTGATTTTTCTCATTTAGTTATTCCTCTCACTACAAATAAATAATAATCTTGAAAATATATCTAAACTAAAGTAAAGCACTCTATCGATAGTCTTATATAAATTAACTGATTAATCTTTCATTATGAATTTCATCAATAATTAAAAAATACAGGAGAACATAAATTGTATATCACTAATTTTCATATAGGACACAAG